TTTTTTTTTGTTTTGTTTTGTTTTGTTTTGTTTTTAAGTAAGTCAGCTGGGACTGCTATAATGATGTACCGCAGATTTAGTGTCATAACAGTGAAGGCTGTTATCTTAGAATTCTGGAGGCTAGAAGTCTAGCATACAGCATCACAGGGTTAGTCTTTCCTGTCTCCTCTCAGTTTTACATGGCTTGCTGGCAGTCTGTGTTTCCCCTTGGCTTGCAGCTGCATAACTATCTCTGCCATTACTGTCACAGGATGAGGACCTGGCAATTTGACCACTAATAAGCACCACTCCTCCATACTTCAGTAAACTGCATCTGCAATCCCCAGTTTCCAGACAAGGTTCTAGACTGAGTTAGCACTTCAACATAGCCGTTTGAAGGGACCAAATTTGAACTCTTCTTTGGACTCTTCTGAGATACTGCAGTGAACTGTGCTGCCCTGTCTTTCTGAGACAGTTGAGAGATAATGGTCTAGCTGCAGCATGCTCAGAAAACACAGTACAGGGTCACCGGAAGCTTCAAGACAACTGCTAAAACACTTCTACTAGAGTGGATTATATGACCATGTGGCCACTGGCTACTACATAATTTGTCTCCAGGCATCAGCTTGCCACTCAAGCTCCACAATACAAGCTACAGGTCTGATCAAAGGTCTCCCATCAGTTCCTGGATTGCAAGCCAGGGCATTGTTTGCTTCTACTCCCACTGTACCCTAAATATTTGCTCTATTCTCCCCGGAATGCACCTAGCTCCAGCAGGTAGAGCTTCTCTCAAGTTTCCTCTAGAGATCACTTTAGAATTTGATACCCATGAACCACTAATCCTATTAAGATTTTGTTCACCTAGGGCCAAAACTCCTCCTGGCCAGTCACACCTCCACCCAGGGCCCTTTCTGTCTTGTGGGCAGGACTTTCGTTTCCATTTGATCCCAGCACTGCTAAGCCTTTCTCTATGTTGCTTGGGGATTCTGTACTATTTTGTTTGTCTGTTTGTTTTTTTCAAGTCAGGGTCTCATTGTATAGCTCTCTGACCTGAAACATGATGTATAAGCCAGGCTGTCCTTGAACCCACAGAAACCCACTAGCCTATGCTTCCCAAGTACTGAGGGATTTTGTAGCATTAGCTCACCTGCTTCTACATAGCCCGCTTCTTTCCTTGCCAGCATACTTTAGAGCATTTCTTGTGCTTTTATAGAAGCTAAAGGAAATTGTCTAATTTCTGGGACAATCCATGTCTTTCATTCCTTTCTCTCTTCCACAAGGTCTCACTGTGTATGTTCAAGTATAATGCTTTTTAGGGGGATAATTATTTTCAGGGTTTTTTTCTGATTTTTAATTTTTTGTTTGTTCAGCTGTTTTTATTATTCTCTTTCTCTTTCTCTCTCTGTGTGTGTGCGTGTGTGTGTGTGTGTGTGTGTGTGTGTGTGTGTGAGTATGCCTTAGCACACCTACCTACATGAGTCAGAAAGCAACCTGTTGGAGTCAGTCTTCTCCTTCTACTATGAGGATTCTGGAACTCCAACTGGAGATTAGCAGCAGCATGCATCTTTATTTACTGAGCCATTTCATTGGCCCTTATTTCTTTCTTTCTTTTTTTTTTTTTTTTTTTTTTTTTTTTTTGTGACAGGGTCTTACTATGAGTCTAGGTGGACTGGCATTCTCTACATAGCCAGATTCACTTTGAACTCATGGTTACCTTCCTGCTTCAGCCTTCAGGGTGTCATTACTTGTAATCCCTGATTGGAAGACAGAAGTAAGAGGATTACTTGAAATTCAAGGATAGCCTGCTTTATATACTGAATTTTAAGCCAGCTAGGGCCACATCAAAACTGTCGCAAGGCACCCCCAACCCCCCAAAAAACCCTCTATAAACAGAAAACCTTGGGGAGTTTAGCTCTGTTGATTCTGGGCTCCAGAGTCCCAACTGAGAGGATCAGGTTGGGAAAGAGGAGACAGCTCCTCATTTCTGGCCCTCACAGCAGCAACTACGTTCTGGGAAAGAGAAGTAAGAAGTAAGAGGAAGCTTAGATTTGTCTTAAAATGGTTAATCTCAGGCTGGAGAGATTGCTCAGTGGTTAAGAGCACTGACTGTTCTTCCAGAGGACCAGGGTTCAATTTCCAGCATGTACACCTTCACTATCTGTAACTCCAGTTCCTGCAGATCCCATAGCCTTCCCGTGTGTGTGGTATACAGACATACATGCAGGCAAAATACTCATACATGAAAATAATAACAGTTTTTTAAATAGCTTACTCTTGTCAGCCCAGAGGATATTCATTCCTTGAGGCTGTTCAGCTGGGGTCCAAAGGGAAGAAGTACTATGGGGCATGGAAAGGACCCTGAGTCCTCCTGAGCAAGTGCAGTGCAGTTAACACTGAGACACCCTGGAGTTTAGAATTTCTGCACTGATGGAGAGGCCACTCTCAAGAAAATTCAAGTCTCCTTGGGCCTCAGGGCTAGATTTTAAAGAAGGACATGCCACTTCCCTTTTCTCTAACTTGTTCAAGACAGAGTTAACTTCACTCACATTGTTGCTCATCCCTCTCTACTTCATAACTTCCAAGTACTGGTGAGGCCCTTGTCTGAGAATGAAAACATAAAGATGCTAAAATCTCAGGAACTCAGACAAATATGGGAATATATTTTTTAAAGAAATTGGAAATCTGGTTTTATTTTTGGGTGTGTGTGTATGTTCTGGGGATTAAAACCAAAGCTTCATACATGCTAAACAAACATGCCCCAGGTTTGGTTTTGTAACTATATGTAGTTGGTAACTGTTTCTTTAATAGTTATTGAGTAGGTCCAACATGAGTCCATATATAGCCCTTCTCTGGTCTGGTGGGGAATGTAGGATATGGTGACAACCTTGACTTGAAATACTCAGAAGGTGCATGGCTGACAAATTCCAGGTACTCCATCTTCCTTGGAAGGTCTTCCTCTGGCTCCATTATATAGGACGCAGGATCAAACTGGTCTCTGGGGCTAGCAAGGGTAGGAATGGGCCACATCAGTGCTGCACTCCTCTCACAGTACTGGTCCTGAATAAAACCCCTGGTCTGCATAGTATGGCTTTCCATCTTGCTCATCCATCACAGAAACAACATCACCAATTTGGTAATATACTCCCTTGAAAAAGATGGATTCTACAGTAATTATAGTAGAAACAGATTCAGGAGCTTTGATACGGTTTTTTAATTTAAAAATATGCCTTCTCCCTTCTCCTTTAGTGGAAACTTTCTTTTCAGCAGCCGGAGCAGATCTGTATTTGGTATTTCAGAACCAGCAGGCCTTCTGTGAATTTCTTGCTTACTCTGCTTGCTGCCCCCATTGCTCTGTGGAGGAACGGCCGAGGTGCTAGCGAAGGTGGCCATGCTGAAGCCGCCGTCGACACCAAATATTGGAATTTTTGGGGAAGGGGGGATTTATTTATTATGTGTACAGTGTTCTGCCTGTATGTATGACTACAGGCCAGAAGAGGGAACCAGATCTCACTATAGATGGTTGTGAGCTACCATGTGGTTTCTGGGAATTGAACTCAGGACCTCTGGAAGAGGAGACAGCGTTCTTAACCTCTGAGCCATCTCTCCAGCCCTCTGGAACAATTTTATATTAATACTTTGTTAGGTTTTTTACTTTTTGTGTGTTTGTTTTGAGACAGGGTTTTACCATGTAGCTCTGGCGATTCTGGAACTCACTATGTAGACCAGGTTGGCCTCGAACTTGAAAAGATCCACCTGCCTTTGCCTCCTGGGTGCTGGGATTAAAGGAATGACACATGGAAATTTTCTTAGAATGGAAAAACAAAACAAACAAACAAATAAATAAATAAAAGCAATGGAAACTCCAGTCAGCCTCTGTTTGGGTTTATCTGTCTGAACTCCGGTGACCTGGTGAATCACAGGCTCTGTCAACTGAGCTATATCACCCTCCCCACTTGAATACATGCCGCTTCCAGGGTTGAGATTAGGGTAAAAAGAAGAATCCTGCAAACTCAGAGACAGGTTTTGCATTTGAAAGTCTGATATTTGTTCTTTTAATTTTTAAAAAATTTGTTTAATTTTTATTTTATTTGCATTGGTGTTTTGCAATTGGTGTCTTGTGTTAAGAGTGTCAGATCTTGGGGTTACAGTGAGTTGTTAGCAGCCATGTGGGTACTGGAACTTGAAGCCGGGTCCTTTAGGATAGTAATGAGTGTTCTTAACCACCGAGCAAGCTCTCCAGCACTGAAAGTCTGACGTTTTGTTCCTTAAGGTCCCTCCTCCTCATTCATGCTGGTTTTTAGGAATGTTGAACTAAAATACTTATGTTGAGCTTGTTTTGTGACCCCATTTTTAAAAGTTTTATTATTACCATTATTATTAATTTTACGAGACAGGTTCTCACTATGTACTTGATGCTGTTCTGCAACTCACTATATAGACCAGGCTGTCCGTGAACTCAGATATAGACTACCTATGCCTCCCAAGTGCTGGGAATAAAGGCTTGCGCCACTACGCCCGACTGAACATTTTTAACCAATAGGAATGCCTCTCACTTGCATTTCGTTCTGGTCCCATGAAATATCTACGAGTCTACAAACTCTCCCCCTTCCTTACCCCGGGACTCCATAGGGTTTCACCCTCTCCCCCTCCCCAACCTTAAGACCTCAAGACCACTGCACGCAGGCCACTTTTGCTCTCCGGGCCTCTACTCTGTGCAGCTCCCGGGTCCCGGGCTCTGTGGCACCTCCTACATTGCGCAGTTCTCCAAGGTTTGGAGACTTCACTATCCGCCAACCGCAGCACAGTAGGAAGCTATGTACCGGCCCAAGATCTGAGAGACTATGCACCCAATGGTCTTAGACCTAGTCTGTTTTCAGCGACCAGGGCACCGCGCGTGCGCGCTGAGCCCGTCGCCGGCGGGAGAAAGGGCTTAGACACATTCAGCTTCGCAACCGAAGGGCTCAGGAGCGTGAAAAATCTTCCATATTCAGCTCGCGGGCGCAGGCGCTAAAGACTGCAGTTTTAGCGAGGAGTTGCCCAGGAGTCAGCCCGGCTGGTTGCCGCCCAGGGGTGGTCCTTGCGCGGCGGAAGGCGCGGCCCGGGCGCCCGCCCGATGGGGCGGGAGGGGCGGGTCGCTGCTGCGTCCCCGCCCCGCGCTCGGGCCGGGCCGGGAGGGTCCCGGGGCGTGCGGCCGGGCTAGAGGGTGAGGTTCTCCGGGCCAACGAAGCGCCATGCGCAGCCCCCCTGCCAGCGCGCTGCTGCTGATTGCGCGCCGGGGCCCTGCCGTGAGTGCGTGGGCCCCGGCCGTCTCTTCTAAGACATGGCTGGCTTCTGAGTGGAACCCGCTCGTACGCGCGTGGACGTCTCTAATCCATGAGCCGACCCCGGGCCTCCGCTTTCCCGCGCCCCTATCCGGGCTGCCTGGCGGCGTGGGGCGGTGGGCCACGACCTCCGGGACCCGCAGCTGCTGGATACTGGCAAGACCCCGCGGCGCACATCCCTTGTTCGCCAGGTTCCAGGGAATCCGGGCAGCAGCCACCGGTGTGCGAGACCTTGGGAACGACTCCCAGCGGCGGCCCGCGGCGACCCCGCGCTCAGAAGTGTGGAAGCTCCTGGGTCTGGTGCACCCTGAGCGCGGAAGGCTGTCAGGTAGGAACCTTGCGGGGACTAGTGGGCTGTCGCGGGCCCCGGCCTGACCTCGGCCTCAGCCTCGACAAGGGCGTTCAGGTCTGCCGACACTTGTTGGAAGGCTATGGGTGCCTTTTCTCAACTGGCGTGCGCTCACTGTCTGGAGGTCAGTAGAGCCTGTTACCAAAATATTTAAATCGGCTCCCACCAGCTTGTTGGCAGCATCTGCTCTGGGCAGTCTCTAAATAAACTGGAGTTTACTCCTTTAAGAAGAAAGTTTCGCCAAAGCCATGTCTACATTGTATTATCCATTATAGTGTTTTTAAAAACATCACTAGGGCTACACAGTATCAAGAAACCAGAAATATTTCACATGATGAAGCTGAGCACTGTGAACCTCATGCTGGCTGTCACCACCCTGATCAGGACCAGGCATTGGCCACTGGGCATAAAGAAGCTAGGCAGTAACACAACTGAATCTATGGATGACTTTTAAAAATAAATCAGAACTGGTTGATTCTGAATGAAAATACTCTGTAACTCCCATTTTTAGCAGTCACTGGAGGGATGGTTGGCAAAGACCTACTGAGATCTAGAAAGTCCTAAGGGTTTTCTAAGTCTACATTCCTTCTGTGCCTATGGATTGTGCTCTCCTGTGGGATTGCCTTGGGAAATGACACATGGAGTCCTGCTCCTGCTGGGATTCCCTGCTTAGTGGACAGGAAAATACTCGAATTAGAGATGAAATGGAGACAGGCATGGGGGATCTCCAAGAGGAAGGACCTTGTTCAACTCCTGAAACAGGCAAGACCCCAAGTTGCTTGCAGAGTCCCTTGCTGTACAAGTTACTCTCTTTGGGAGAGATTGGGCTTGGAAAAGATGCTTATGGAGCAAGGGCACGTGGATCTGCCATCTACAGCAGTTAGGAAGTACCCTTAGGTATAAGACACATTCCACCATGGTTGTTGTGGTTTTTAATGGAAAAAGTCCTTTTCTTGTTGGCTAGCTTGTAAGCCCTTTTACCCTGTGTTTTATTTATTTTTTTAAATAAATTGTTTTCTGTGTACATTGATGTTTTGCCTTCATGTATGTCTGTGTGAGGGTGTTGGATCCCCAGGTACTTGGGTTACAGACAGTTGTGAGCTGCCATGCAGGTGCTGGGAATTGAACCTAGGTCCTCTCAAAGATCTCTTAATCACTGAGCCATCTCTTCAGCCCCCTCCCCTATGTTTTACTGAGACCGATTTAATGTAGTCCAAGCTGATCTCAAATTCACTATGTAGCAGAGGATGACCTTGAACTCCCGATCCTCTTTTCCATCTCTCAGGTCCTGGGATTACAGGTGTGAGCCACCAAAACCAGGATTAAAATATATTCTTGGGGCTTGGGGGAGACACAGCAGAAAGTGTGCACAGAGGAGTCTGGAGAGCCTGGGCACCTGGGTGCCAGACTATGAGGGGCTGAGGCAAGAACCCAGGCTTCTTCTTCTGAAACTTCAGATTTCAAAGTTTTGGGGAGTCAGGCTTTGTGGGTGCTACTGAGCCCTTCCCTAGTGCCCCTGTCTGTCATCTCTGTGACCTGTCCTACCCTTTGTCCTGCCTGCCAGCATGCTGTGACGTCTGTCTTAATTAAGTCAGAGTAGTCAGTTTGTCTTACTGAAATATCAAACATGATTTGAGAATAACCTTACTTGCAGTTGGCATTATAGTGGGCTTGTTTTTGAGTCAGGGTCTTGCTCTGTAGTCCAGCCAGACCTCTAACTTGATCTCTTGCCTCAGCTTCCCAAGTGCTAGGAATTCTGCTTCTAAGTAGACAGTAAACATACTGTGTCTTCAGGGCATCTGAAGACCTCATTGTATAGCCTGTGTTTTCTTCTGAAGCCATTGTAAAGACAGTCTGGTTGTTGGTGCTGGTGGAAGCAAAAGGAAGTCGTAGTCACCGTTAGTTTGTAATAGATCTTGCTAAGCAAGAGTTGGCACATCTCTGAAATGCTGGGGGAACAGAGGATGTTATGTAGGTTTGTGTCTTTCTGTCTGTTTTTTTGAGACAGATACTACCTTGTAGCCCAAACTGACCGTGACAGCAGTCTTCCTGCCTCAACCTCCCCAATGCTAAAATGGTAAGCATGAGTCATCATGCCTGTCATTATTTCATTAAAGAGCCACTGCAAACAGATAATTCTTAGAAATCCCGATGTGCTCTCTATGTCTTGCTCCCTTTCTTTTCACCTTTTTTTTTTTTTTTTTTTTTTTAAAGACGATTCACTGTGTATCCCTGACTATCTTAGAACTCTGTATGTAGACCAGGCTGGCCTTGAACTCAGAGATTTGCCTGCCTCTGTCTTCTTAGTGCCTGAATTAAAGGTGAATGTCACCATCGCCTGGCTTCTGGTGTTAGTTTTCTAATTTTAGAAAAAAATTAACATCTCAAAACTGTGGGTTTTTTTTTTTCAATAATAACTCTTCCCTACTCTTCAGTAGTTTGTTCCCCAGAGAATTTTGATCTTAAGTATCCAAAACTTGGAAAACAGGGCCTCCTGTTTGAAATGTCTGCAGATGCTTGCCCAGAGCAGAAGTCCCATGATTTCTCCTTCCTCCAGGCAGCCTACTCCTTCAGGATTTTGGCTATCTTGGTATCACTAAGTCTGCAGCACTACCCAGAGCCATTTTGCACTGATAAGTCTTCCCTTTATCACTTTGGCCATAAGGAACCTCAGAAGGTGCTGAGCCCAGAATCATCTAGGTGCTCATAGAGCAGATAGGAGGCACTTTCTCAGGCTTCCTGTGTGCTTAGCAGATAGGAGGTCAGGGCTCAGATGTCCCAGTGAGCAGTGGGCCCCAAGATGAGAAGAAGCTTAGAGTGCCAGATCTTCTGGTTCACAGCGGGGGCTCCTAGATATACTGTAGTTAGAGTGTTGGATGATGCATTCTGCTCTCTTCCCTTCATGTTTTAGACAGTGCAGGTTTGCCGGATTCGGGTCTGTTAGTCTTCTGAATTACTGGTAAGGGCTGGGTTTCTCTGTGAAACAGCCCTGCCCTGGCTGTCCTGGAACTCACTCTGTGGACCAGGCAGGCCTGGAACTCACAGAGATCTGCCTGCCTCTGCTTCCTGAGTGCTGGGATTAAAGGCATGTGCCACCAGTCTCCATCTTGATAATGATTGTTCTTAAAAGCTGATGTCTGCCTAGAACTATAAGTTTGTAGATATGCCTGTGGAATGACCATAATGAAATACAGCAAGGAAAAAGATGGGGATTGCATACAGCTGCTGATTCCTGATACCCAGATAGAACAGTGCCCAGCAGGACAGGGCTAAGGGACAAGAGGAACAGCTTGTGATGTGGAGGCTACTCCAGGGATCTCAGTATCTTCTGAACCCCTGTTTCTTGCTCAGCTTCATTCTAGGTTTTCAGCCCCCATATCTTCACTTCCTTCCCTCAGTCACCTCAGCTTTTTCCTATTTGCCCTCCACCCTGTTCCTGTTGCATCCACATCATCCCTAAAAATGTCTCCCTGACTTCCCAGATCTTCAGCATGTCTGCAAACAATTATCACTCTGCCTTTTTTGCCCCCTTTTTTTTCCCAGTCCCTGATCTCTGAGCCAGGACAACTGAGTAACCTTTGGGCTAAGCCACAGTACAGGCCATTTCTGAAATGACAGCAGGATTGATGAAGGATATAACTGCTCTTCTTGTTTACTAGCTACTGGGCACTGAGCCACATACTTTCTATATGTCTAACCTGCTCAGGGCAGCTCCCTGAGAAGGTGTATGCCATTGTTGTTTTGCTATTTGTAGTAGGAGAAATTGAGACACAGGATTTGAGCCACTTGTGTTAGGTCAGACATGTTGGTGGCAGAACCAGGGTTCTGGTGCTGTTCGTCTCCTCTTTAGAACCAGCTTTTCTGATCCTTCTCAATCTCTGACCTCCCACACTAACGTTGCAGACCTGAGACTATCTACACTTACCCATCTGAACACCAGTAGAGTGAGGATAATGGTCATGTGTTTCAGAATGTCAGTCAGTAGAAGCCACTGGGGCCCATTGGGCCAGATGGAAACAGTAGAGTCTGCACTGTGGTGTAAGGTCCCAGATGCGGAGTGGAACCTGATATGTCACAGCTCCATATGGCAGAACCTTGATCTCAAGAATCCTGGTGACGAAAATCCATGTTATTTCCATTCAGATTATGTCTTAGGTTTTTATTTACATTCAGATTGTGTTAGGGTTTTATTGCTGTGAAGAGACACCATGACCACAGCAACTCTTGTAAAGGAAAGCATTCTATCGCAGTTGATGTAACAGTTCAAAGGTTTAGTCCATTATCATCATGGTGGGAAGCATAGTGGTAGACATGCACACATGGTGCTGGAAAGGTAGCTCAGAGTTCTGCATATGGATGTGCAGACAGCAGGAAGAAAATGTGAGCTGCTGGCCTGGCTTGAGCACCTGAGACCTCAAAGATTGTCCCCAGAGACACATTTCCTCCAGCAAAGCCACACCTATTCTTAACAAGGCTATTATTCCCTGTGAGCCTGTGGAGGCCATTTTCTTTCAAACCACCACAGATTATAATACAAAGGGCACACAGTAGTAAAATAAACCTGGGGTTGAGATTGACCTAGCACACACAAAGCCCTGGGTTTGATCCCAGCACTGCATAAAACCTGGCATGTTAGTACACACCTCTAATCTCAACATTCTAGAGCAGGAGGTAGAAGTAGAAGAATTATCCTTGGCTGCATAGTTAGTTTGAGATTAGCCTGGTCTATATGATGCCCTGTGTCAAAAATAAATAAGTCAATTTGGAACTAGAGAGAGACTCAGTGGTTGATAGTGTATTACCCTTCCAGAGGATCAGAGTTTAATTCCCAGCACCCATGTCAAGTAGCTCACAATCGTTTAAAACTCCAGTTCCTGGGGATCTGACAGCTCTGAACTCTGCAGGCACCCCTATACACATGAATCACAGGATTAAAAATAAATAAATTGGGCCTAGAAAGATGACTCAGTACTGGTTGC